AGCTGCTCCACCGCCGCGGGCGTCAGCTTCATCGCCGCCTTGCGCGCGCGCAGCTTCGAGCGCGGGCGGGTCGGCTTCGGCGCGGGCGTCGATGACGTTGACGTCTTTGCGGCTGCTGTTGGTGTTGGCTCGGCGGGCTTTGTGGATGTCGTTGATGACTGGGCGGAAGACTGCTGCTGCTGCTGCTGCTGCGGTGTGGCGAGCTGCGAGATCTTGGGCGGCCTCGTCTCGTTGACCTTCGGGAGGGGATCCGGCTGCGCGATTGAGCCCTCTGCGCCGTCGGCACGCGGTGGCGGGGGCGTGTTGTTGGGGTAGAGCGGGTAGGACTGGAAGGACGGGCTGCCGTAGGCTCGGCGGCCGGCAACGCAGGGCGAGTAGGCGCATTGCATCGCGGTGCAGGAGCGGCGGATCGCCAGGCGGGTGAGTATCCTCGGGGCGTTCATCGTGGGAATCTGGATTTGAGGTTGGGTGGGTGGGTGGATTGGTTTGTTTGCGCAAATGACCGGTTCTGGCGGTCTGCTTTCGTCTCGGCGGTCCCAGCGGTTGAGGAGTGCTCGTGGGGAGATGTCGAATGGTAGTGTTAATAGGAAAGGCTGAGAGGAATAGTCCGACGGCAACGGAGAGTTGGTGGTTTGTTTGTAAGGTCGGAGGTTTTTTGCTCGGTCGGTCGGGTTGGGGGGACTCGAGTCCAATGAGTTTGCGGATCAAAAGTGTGGCTGCACTCGGAGCAGAGCAGAGCAGAAGCTGGGCCCGGGAAGGGGTCAGTTGACAGGATTTGGCTGTGGCCCCGTGGCGCGGCTATGACATGGCCACTGCGCTGCCGGGAATTCTCGAGCTCTGGGCCAATCAGAGGCCGGTAATTTGTCAACGGCGGGTGGATATGACAAAGCAAGCCTCACAGCATGTTGGATGACTCTTTGCTCATCGTCCCTTCCTGTGGCGTTACCTCTCCCTTAGGTAAGACGACACAGCAAGGATATGAGATGAAGGGCCGACGGTAATTTGACACCCTGAGGGCTTGAGGTGCATTATTCATGGATTCCGTTCATGCTGCAATAAATCGAATGATGTTTTGGAATGAGACCATTGGCATTAGGTTTGCTCGGAAAGTCAAAAGTCGCTTCGGCTACATTCTCGGCAGCAACCGAGGAGAAAGACGTGGGGGTCCATGAGCCGCAAGACATCAGCCGCCATTCATGATCATCTGTTCCTCGAGAACGCCGTGAGCATTGGCTATCATCGAGGATATCATGACTATTGGCTAACACCTATTCACTCGTATCTTGTGGCTTCAACAAATGACGATAACCGCTCATCAAGATCAATTGCCTCAGCAAAATGGGATGGAACACCATCAATTAGACTATCCATCATATCAATCATCATTACAAATTCATACAATCTACCCTACAACCCTCATCATGACCGCTCAACCATCCCCCTCACATCCCCCACCGCCGCCCTCGCCATCTTCTTCAACAAACTCCTCTCGTCTGCCTCCCGGTACCGCTCCCACGTATCCAGCCCCTCCTTCGCCTGTATGCTCAACGTCTCGTACCCCTGCTTAATCACTTCCGTCACCTCCACGCTCGTCAGGTTCGCCTTCTTGCGCCCGCCCTCCAGCAGCTCCTTGTAGTGCGTGCTCACGCTAATCAGCGTGTCGATCGAGTTGCTCTGCCTCTTCCCCAGCGCGTAGCTCTCCTTGAACTTGCCCAGCACGTCTCCCGTCTCGACGACCTTGTAGAACAAATCGTCATACGCCGCCGCGCCCGGCAGAAACGCCTCGCCCGCCGACAGCGACAGCGCGAGCAGGTTCACCACGTTGTCCACCAGCAGGTCCACCTGCGCCAGGTCCTTCAGGTCCGCGACGTACGTCGTCAGGAACCTGACCAGATTCAGCAGCGCGCGGAAGAGGTCCGCCCAGTGGTACGCCAACCGCGTGCGGCTCCTGCTCAGGTACGAGACGACGCGCAGCATGATGCCCACGCACAGCGTGTACAGCCCGACGTCGAGCCGGCGGCGCAGGTTGTGCGTGATGCCGTCGACCATGGTGTCCAGCACCGCCGTCGCGAGGATGCGCTCGCCGCGGACGAGGGGCAGGTACGGCTGGCGCTGGCGGCACAGGCGCACGGCCGTCTTGCTCTCGTCGCTGCAGATGCGCTTGCAGAGCACCGGGTCCTCGATCAGCAGGCGGAACACCATGAGGTTGAGGTGCGAGTAGTGCGTCGTGCGCTCCGAGAGGTGCGCGTGCTGGAGGAGGTAGGAGGTGAGCGAGGTGAAGGCGGCGAGGGGCTGTTCGGCCCCCTTTTCGGCGGGGAGCGTGGCGAGGTTGAAGCAGAAGAGCTTGTTGGCGTGCGTGAAGTCGTATGTGGCTAGGAGAATGGCGGCTTCTTCGCCTGGTCTGTGATCACCCGTCAGTAAACGTGAGTTTGTGTTTGGTGCTGTGTGTACCCACAGGTTCGTGAACATGGTCTTCATCGTCTCGGCGTCGTAGATGGGCTTCTTCTCCGGCTTCGGCCCCCTGGCGACAACACCCAGCCCCATCATCCGCAACGTGCCGTTCAGCGTCCACCCCTCGGGCAGGTCCTCCTGGACGTCCACGTACTGCGTCCTCAAGCTCTGACACGTCTCGCCCACGCACCTGATGATCTTCCGTATCGTCGCTTCGTTGACGAAATCGTTGAGGCGCATCTGGTACGGGTTCTGGAACTCGAACTTGTTATAGTTGGCGAGCAGGCCGAGGAGGGTAAAGGGGTAGAGGATGCGTTGTGTCGAGTCCGCGTCTTGGATGAACTGGTCTCCTGTCAATCTTGCCAGTCCTCTAGATCCTTTTGTAAATAAAAGATTACCTTCATGACCGCGGGAAACAGATCCCTCTGGATGAAATACGTCAACAGACTCGTCTGGTACGCCCCGGCCGTAACAGCCAGCACCACCTCAACCGCCTTCTGCCTCAGCTCCAAGCTCTTCCCGCTCCGTATAATCAGATCCAGCGCGCCGACAAAATCCGTAAAGACGGTGTCGACGTGGTCGATCCCCGCCAGCACGTTGAGGATGTCCGAACTCGGGTGCGCATACTTTTTTGAAAGCGCCGAGCACAAGAATATACTCAATGTCTGCCGCCGTCAGTCCTCTAATGCACAAACTCCCACCGCCAGCCTGACGCAAAGACAACAGACGAGCCAGGGAAAGGAACTCACATCGAGCGCATGCAGATCCGCGACCCCCTGCCCGCTCTTCACAGCGCCCACCGCCCTCGCGAACAGCTCCCTCGTCTGCTCCTCGAGCGCAAGCATGTCCGCGGGCCCGAGACCGTCCAGTATCCGCCGCAGCGCCGCGCGGTCCGGCCTTAGCAGGAAGAACTCGCGCCAGAAACCCTCGGTCCGGTCATCGTCTTCGTCGTCCTTGAAAAGCTCGTCATGTTAGCCCGTCTCGAGGTTTCGGCTTCGTCGGGAAGGGGTTGGGAAGACGTCGGATGGGCGGATGGGTTGTGTCAAATCGCAAGAGAAGGAGGGCAACCTCCAAAGGCGGCCACCCAGCCTATATCGCGAGCTTCAAACCCGCCCGCGGTGGAAGCTCCGGATCGCAGATCCCTCCCCCAGTCGCGCAAAGGAAGAACCCAAAAAGAGAAAGACGCACCTATCCACGCCCGCCTGTTAGCCGCAATCCCCAATCGCAAGTGCGCATTCCCTCCCCAGACAGTCACGAACCTTGAACAACCCCTCATACAGCTCGACAACCTTAGGCTTAAACACCTCGGGCGGAGGCTGCCTCGTCAGCGGTGATGCTTCCATTCCCGCGCAGCGCAGCACCCTATTCCTCGTTTCCAAGTCCGTTCGCTTTTCCAATTCCGGTCGGCGGGTATTCGATATCGCAGGCAGTCCAGGAAAAGCACAAAAGATTACAATTGCATTAGAAGAAAAGATCGGAAGGCACGGAAAGGAGCAAACGTTAACTGCTGGTTGAACAGTGTTCGGTCCGGACGCGCCAGCAAGCTATCTTGGGCACGATACGATACGATACGCGGTCCGATAAAAAAAAAAAAAAAAGATAAAGGCTCCCTTCCACCCAGACGGGTGTTGCTGCGTAGCTCAGGGGTGCATTACAGTTTCTGGTTTCCCACACACTGTCTCTACCATTGTCATATACACCCACTTCACAGTGCCATCTCCAGACCTCAACGGTACATTACGACACAGCGCATGCCCAGAGCCCCAAAACCACCAAGCTGCCGTCCGTTAGCTGGCTGCCTCCAAGAAAAGATCGGGACACATGTCCCAGCCCGTCGCGCCGTTTCAAGCACATCGCAATTCCCCGGGCACCGTCCACCACCCCCCCTTGAACGGGAAGGCGAGCAGCGTAGGGCTGACGGGACCCAAAAAACATTTCACATCAAGCCAAAAACGACACGTGCAGATTTACCTCCTGAGCAACCCAGTGTCACCCTCAACGTCCCGTTGAACCAGAAGAAACCCGCAGGAGCTTCCTTCCGCCAAGCCGAGGTATGTAATAGCACAGAGCTGCTATTATTATCATAGCGGGCCGATGGTCAGGGGTGCAAAGTGATCTCGGCTGTCCCACCCGGACCGCCGTCCTCACGATGATCGCAATATGCCTCTCCTCTCCGTACACGACTTTGATATCACAATCTCACCACTGGGACAACATGCTGAACGAGAAAGTCAACCCTCGCAAGGGCTCTGTGTATATCTAAACACCCAAGAAAACCACCATCGCTAGCTGCATCCCCGCCCAATGCAATCATTAAAACTGATATATGCAGTGGATGTTACCCAGGACCCCCTCCCTTCCCTTTCCTATCTCCAATGCTTGCTTTACAAGTCCCTGGATACAAAAGAAACAATTTCCAACGCCCCTCGCAATGCCATTGTGTGTGTCTTCTATGTACAGACCGTCCAAGACCACCGGGTTATAGTGTATTGGTAATTCAAGTCGGAGACTCGGTTGGTCTTTTTGTTATTCTGTCCACGGCCAGGCGGCTAGTACATGATACTCTGCCGCCAGCGCTCAATGGACTGCGGCTGTCCGGGCTGCATTTGCATCTGCATCTGCTGCATCTGCATCGGCGTCATTTGCTGCTGTTGCATGCCCATGTTCATCGCCATGGGCTGCGTCTGCATCGGCATGCCCATTCCGCCGCTGTACGGGTTCATCTGCATGTTGTTCATGTTCATGTTCATGCCCATGCCGTTCATGTTGTTCATCCCGCCCATGGCACCCGCCCCGCCCATGCCTCCAGCGGTGTAACTGCCGTAGCCAGAGGCGATCGCCGGCTTGTTAGCCATCTGGGTCATGCCAGCCTGGCCAATCAAGCCGCCATATGCAGGCTGCTGCTGTTGTTGCGGCATTTGCAGGGGCGCACCGTAACTGCTGAAAGCCATACTGGACCGGTTCCAGCCGGGTGCCATGTTGACACCGGCGCCGGCGTTGGACGACTGCACGTTGTCGATAAGACCACTGACGCGCCTGCTGTTGGCGGTACCTCCGTTACCATCGTTGAACTTGCCGTTCATGTACCCGCCAGTTGGCGCCAGAGCCTTGGGCTTGTCGAGACTGGTTGGCATCTGCGCACGCACGGCAGCCATCTTGGCCTCCGCCGCCCGAACCTTGCGCTCCTCTTCTTGGAGCCTCGCCTGCTCCTTCAAGGCCGGGTTCTCGTGATGGATACCTGGGTGGCTGCCGAGAACATCTGCCAGACTATGTTGCTTGCGCAGCGGCGGCGCTTCAGGCTGGTTGATGCCGAGCCCGCCACCGAGTCCGCCGCCGAGAGTCATCTCCCGCTCGCGCGCCTCCCGCTCAGCCTGCAGCCTCTTCCGGCGCTGACCAAGAGTCTCTTCTTCAGGAGGCACCTCCTTCTCCTTGCCCTTGTCTTCGTCCTTCTTCTCCTCAGGCTCGCCGAACTGATTAAGAATCTCGGCAGAGAAAGCGCGACTAACAGGGCGGGCCTTGGGCAGGTTGTTGTGATCGGCCTCATCCTTGGCCCGAAGACGCCGCATGCGCTCGCCCAGAGTCTCACCAGGCTCATCATCTTCCGACTCCTCTTGAGGCCTCACGCGCTCAGAAGAGGGCACGTGGTTGAGGCGAAGTTGGCTCAAACCAGCGTTGAGAGTCATGGCACTCCTTTGTGGCCGGAGAGTTCTTGGTGGTTCAGGCTGTCCCGTAAGACGAGCGCGACGAGAGCTCAAAGGCTCGTTCTCCTCCCTCTCACGCTGCTCCATTAGACCTAGGGGACGGTTGACGTCTGCGACGACACCCTGGTTGGCGTACAAGACACCCAAAGGCACCTCATCATCGTCGGAGTCCTCCTTTTCGTCGTTGGCGCCATCCTCCCAGGCAAGCGCAATCTTCTTCTTCTCACGATGCCTCTTCTGCGCCTCGGCGACAGCGTCGAGTTCGAGGAGCGTGGAGTGCATGCCGCCAGCCAGTGCGCTGTTCGGCATCTGCGTGCGCAGCTTTTGGTTGTACTTTCGCAACTGAAGCTCGGCGAGCAGCGTCGTCGGGGGTCCGTCGAGGACATGAGCAAACTCGTCCTCTTCCTCTTCCTCAGACTCTTCACCAGACTTCTTCGACTCGGCGTCGACGTTCTCGGATAAGGCCTTGCCCTCATCGTCTTGAGCCATGGAATTGGCCCTAGACGTATCAGCAGACTTCTTGCCGAAAGGCAGGATGCCCTTCTTCTTCTTCTGCGACGCCGCAATGTGCTCTTCGGGCAGCAGAGCCCCGGGCGCGGCAGACTTGCGACGGTTCTTCTTGCCATCAGGACCGTACACCTCAGAGCCGAGCTTGCCGGCGAAAGCGTGGTCCGTGAAGGCGCTGACGGGAGCATTCGCGGAGGCGTCGAGAATGCTGTCCAGAGTAGCCATGGCCGAGCCATCCTTCATCTCTATCTGCGGTGTCGTAGATGGTAGGTCAAAGAAGGCGCTGGCGCGCAGCTGTGGTGGCAGATCTGCAGCCCTGGGCATCTTGGACTTGCGGCGCTGCGTTGGCGGAGGCGCCATGGGCATCTCCTCCTGTTCACCAGCCAGCAGTCCATCCCTTTGCTCGGCAGGCACGTGAGAGTCGACGCCAGCAGTAGACTCCTTGATCGACGTGCCACCAGATCTCTGCCCGTCAATGTCCTCGCCCAGCGTCGTCGCACCATGCCCGGCAAGCGGGTCGGGTAGCCACATCTTGGACTCTCTCACAGCAGGGGCCTCGGGGTCTTGAGGCAGGTACTCGGCCTTGCCAAAGCCAGGGTGCCCCATAGCCTGCAAGACCTTGGAGTGTCTTGCGTTCCGGACATTGGTCTTGGGCTTTCTAGACAACTTGGGGGGCAGGTTGAGCATCGCCGGCACGCGGGCCGGATAGTACAGCATCTCCTGCCCAGTGAGCTCGTCAAAGTACGATTGCGGCCTGACCTGGGTAGCCTTGGGGGGACGGGGCATAGGCCGCGGTTGGGGTTCAAACGGCGGCTCAGTAATGTCAGGCATCGGCATGGTCTTGGGCTGCGGCGGCGGCATGTCGTTGTACTCGCCATCGCTCTGCTCGCGAGAATCCCAGCCGCCGCGCTCGGAGTACTGATCTGGTTGGCAGTGCACGCCATCAAAGTCATCGAAGGCGTTCTTGTGGTCAAAGGTAGCCGTCGATCTGGGTGTCGCTGGCCTGTCCTCAAAGTGTCTTCCGTTGTCACCACCAAAGTCCAAACCCAAGCCGGACTGCTCCGGATCCAGGTGCCCGCCGACAGTGTACGAGGTGCTGTCGCCGTTCTCTTCGTAATGCGTATTCGGCCGTCGGATAGTGGCATCATCGTCGGCCAACGGCGCCCGATCAGCATCATCCAGCGCCCGCTGCGTCAATGCAACAGGCTCTGACTCTGCAATCTCAGCCAGAGAGGGCTTCCCAGACATGCCCGACCTCGCGCTCCGCGTGGACCCCTTGCCGGGGCCGTGACGCGACATGACGGCGTCGACGTCAATCTCCGGCCTCCCGCTCGCCGAGTTCTTGGACCCGGAGCGCAGGCGGCCGGTGAGGGAGTGATTGGGCGACATGACGTAGCCGCTGGGGGAGTAGCCGCCGTGGCGGGCGGCGTTGTTGAGCTCGACGATGGAGGCGACGGGAGGGATGACGCGCAGGGGGCCGGGCTGGGCGGCGGCGTCGTCGATCGGGGACTGGGATGCGGCGACGGAGGCGGCGAGGATGGAGGAGCGGCGGGAGTCGGAGCGTTTCAGTTCCCCATGCAGGTCGCGGATGGCGTCCTCGATGGAGCTGGTCATGGACAGGCGCTCGGCCGTCTTCTCGAGGGCGGCGACGTTGCCGACGTAGGCGCCGGAGCGGCAGTTGAGATCGGGGACGGGGTGTTTGAGGATGAAGGTGTTGGAGTCGGAGGTCGTACGGACGATTGGTTTGGGGACGGGTTGGACGATGTTGGAACCCGACGAGGAGGAGTGGTGGTGGTGACGGTAGCGGCTGGGGGACTGGTGTTGCTGTTGCTGCTGCTGCTGCTGCAAGCTGTCCTGGATCTGGGAGATGAGGCTGCTGTTGGATCGCAGCGACGAGGTGGAGATTTGGCGGGTAAAGGCAGCTGGGGCGGTGAGAGCCGACGCAGCGGAGGCAGCTGAAAGCGGGCTCGTGATGGAACTCGTATTCGGGGCAGTCGTGTTGATGTTGATGTTATTATTGTCGCCGATATTTTTTGTTCGCAGGGCCAGGGGGGCGATGTGCTGGACAGGAGGAGAAGAAACGGAAGAATTCGACTGGCGGAGCGACCGCGGTGGTGACTGGGGTTGGGCCTGCTGGGACTGCAGGTGGGATTTAGGGGAGAATTGAGAGGCGGCGCTGGGGCTGCTGCTGCGAGAGTTCGTGTTGGTTGTAGCGGCGCTACTGGTGTCTGTAGCGGCACTGCTGCCCCTGGCCACCTGCAGCGGATCGAGGGACAGCGGCGTCGACCCGGCATGGCGCTGGCGCGGGTTCATACGCGAGATTGCCTCCTGTTGGTCGTCCAACTCTGTTTCTCCCTCTCCCTTATTCTCTCCCTCTGCTGCTGCTGCTGTTCCCCTGCCGAGGCCAACATTCCTGGCCATTTCCTGTTCCTGTTCCTGTTCCTGTTCCTGTTCCTGTTCCTGTTCCTGGCGCCGTCCCTGGCCGGGTTGGCGGGGGCTTTGCATCGTTACATCCAGCTCGCGTGCACCCGAGACATGTTCTTCCTTCTCTGGCGACATTGCCAGCGCCGCAACAGCATCCGCTGCTGACGATGCTGACGCAGGCGCATGTGGTGCTCGCATGGTCGATTCCGCCCCGTCGTCGCTCAAACTCATACCTGATTCTGTCGTCGTTGTCGCGTTGGACGGCGCCCCCTTTCCAGAAGTGGGCTGTAATGTCGTCGACCGCTGCTTATCAGGACTCGGGCTGTCGCTCTTCCAATTCGTCGTACTGTTGATGCTGCCGCTGAAATCTCGATCGGAAAACAGGTCGCTGTCCATCGACAAAGGCGTAAAACTCGTCTCGGCAAGCGACAGGAAGTTGAGGGGGCTCGGGGTCGCGGTGATGGGAGATATACTCGGCCGCGACGAAGACGAGGCCGACACGGACATGGCCGCTGCGAACGAGGATGCCCCCGTCGTCTCTTTTGTGTTTGTGTCATCTCTGCTGGCAGCTGCCACTCCTGATCCTGCTGCGGCCGTGTCCGATCCTGCGGAGGAGGTCGAGGACCTGCGGACCGACGTGTAAGTCGCCATCTGAAAATTGTGTTTCCCTTCCGGGGGTCGGTTTGCCTCTGTGTCGCAAAAGCGCCCCTCGAGGGACCGTACGGTCGGTGCAATCAAGCGGCCTGGGGGCGTGTGTGGTGGCAGTCGTTCGGATTGTTGCTGCCAGGGTTCGAGAAGGACGATTTAGTTTTTTTTTTGGGGGGGGGGGGGGGGGGGGGGGGGGGGGGTTTGCGTGCGTTCTGCGCGTTTGCGACTCTGGCGATGGGTGCAAGTTCAGACGGCGTTTCCGACGTGCGGGCCCTGCGTGCGACGGATGGATGGTGCTGTGCTCGAGCTTCACACCTTGTTGTTCGTCGTGTTGGTGGTGTTGTTGCCGTGGTACTCGGTGCGCTGGGCAATAACTGGGTTTGCTATTCTCGTATTCCGTTTGCTCCTATTTTTTTTCTTCTTCCGTTGCTGCTGTCGTCCCGTCCGCCCGTTTGGCAATTCGCATCTGCTCTGATTCCCCTCGTGCCCGAAATAGGCGGTAGACCTCTTCTCTTCTTCTTCTTTTTTCCCCTTCTGTGCCCTTGGCGCTGTCTGTCGGTAGGTCGGTGCGCCGCTGTTCTTCAGCTGCAGGGTCGGGAGCTGTGACGTAGGCCGCGAAACAGGTAGGATTGCCGGCGAGGGCCTCGTGGTAGCATCCGCGCGGTGTGTAAGCTGTACCTCAGGCGGGGGGGTGTGAGTGTGCGTTTCGACTATGGCTTTCCTCCGAACAACAGACGAAGGAGCGACAGAAACAAAACCACGAAACAAAAGCTCAGTCGAAAAATGCTATTTCTGCAACGCCTGCGCCTCCGTGAAGGAAAGTGTCAGAGAGAGAAAGACTGGAGGTCGAGTCGTGATATATCCGAAAGCAAGAAAAAGCACAACTAAACGGGGGCGTGTGTGGTAGCGTGGTGGGTGGGTGGATGGGTGTGCAGATAATTAGGTGAGCTGGACAGACATCGGACAGCGGGTGATGAGGGACAAGGTTGTGAATGAAATGGAGATAGCGCATGCGGGTTGAGCAGACGCCGTCCAACAAGGCCTGGCCCAGCTTCGAGCACCACCTACACTGCGGCGCCAGGTCAGGTCGGATGCAGATCGTGGACCATCTGCAGAACCCCCCAGCCAGAGCAGCGAGAGAGACAGCTGGACGTGGAATCAACAGACACCACGTCGTCTGCTCTTACTCGCAACCTACAAGCCCACCGGCACTGACCAGGTAGCCGCCAGAGATAAGCTCCCCTCGCAAGGTCGCAACACAAGATACAGAGGACGGGCTAAACTTGGGACGATCCCGCCAGGGTACCAAACGAAAAGGAAAAGAAAGGGAGCATTGGGGGGGGGGGGGGGGCATATACGGATGTAATGTCACTACCACCTCGATCAAAGGAGATAAGTAGACATGCCACCACCCCCCAAAAGACAAGGGACCTGACACGCAAAACGCAGAATAGGGAAACAGAGAGAGATAGAGAGAGAGAGAGATACGCACTGATAGACAGAAAGCCCGGCTGCTGCTGCTGCGTCAGAAAACGTGTCGATGTAACTGCCACCCCACAGGGCGCACTCGAAGCAACAAAGAGGCCGTCAAAAGTAAACACGCCCAGCTGCTGCTGCTCAGTGCCGCAAGAGCTAGACTCGATAGACGCCGGAGACGGCGTGGGTGGTGCGGGCCAGCTTTCCTTTCAAATACGAGTCCCCTTTGGGTCGTCCGTCGGTCGGTCAGTCAAGTCGGCGGTGGATCCGGTCGTGTGTGTCTTCGTTCGTGCCGTTCCTTGTTCCTTGTTCCTCCTTCTTTCTGCGCGGGCGAGTAGCGGCAGACTAGTTTATAAGCGCACCCGGCCTGGCTTTGTGGAGAGAGAGAGAGAGAGGTGGATGAGATGGGATGGAGAGATGGAGGAAAGGAGTAAGAAGGCAAGCAGAATGGGCCTTTTCCCAAATATCGAGGAGGGAACGATGAAAGGGGAAAAGATGGCAGCAAATGCCAGATAGATGAAGACCAGCCAAACTAAAACGAAACTCGAGACGTTGACAGGTGCGCGGCAACAAGCCTGTCCCCTGGACGGTTCGTCGTTGGGGGGGAAGGGGATGCAGATAGACGATGGGGCGCAACCGGGAAACGTGTGCGTGTGCGCGTGTGTGTCGTCTGGAGATGATGTCGGCGTCTGGGGTGTGGTAGACCGCAGTTCCTGGGATGTGGACCGATCCCAAGAGGAGGAGGATGCCGTCGAGTAATAACAACAAATGGCCCTCGAGTGCTCCGTAAGTTGCCTCCTTCGGCGCAAGGAAACCTCGGATCGTGATCAGTCAGTCAGTCAGTCAGTCCCCCCCTCTGTGCCCTCCACTTTCTCTAGGTAAGGAATCGTCTACTAAGCTACTCTGGACGGGTCTGCAATTCTCTCGCCGCAGCCTCCATCTCCTCGGGTCCCCGGTTCCTCGCAAGCAGCAGCAGTAGATATCTCGACAAGATAGCAGAGGATGTTTTTGGTATCATCCAACATCAACACACAATCTCCCATCAAAAGCCACCGCCGCCGGAGGAAAAAGAAAAGACACACAAACTCTCTTGAGGAAAAACAAACCCAGCGTCTGTCCCGTTATCGTCAGGGGCCGGCTTGTTTGCTCGGCGTCCAGTCCTGCCGCAGGGGTAAGAAAAAAAAACCGCCAAAAAGAAAAAACCAGCGTCCGAAAAACTGGGTTCAGAATGTGACTGCGGCCCCGTAAGGCACCGTAAGGATGATGCAGTTCCTTCGGGCCCCCAGAAATTAACTCAGGGGTTTGTAGCAGAGCGGGAACGGCAAAGCAGTGAGAAAAGAAAGAAAGGCCAAAGGAGGATCCGTATCGTATGCGACAGTGACGTTTTCCGTTCTGCCCCGTTGCCGTGCTCCGGGTCTGCCTCCGTGGTGGTGTCGCGTGGTGCGGGCGGAGATTGAACGGAGTTGTAAGAGTCAGGTAGAAAGGCTATTCAAATGAGAGAGACACACGGAGATGTTGTTTCTCACGTTAGGTATCGCGGGGATGTTGGAGAGATTGGCCTCGTCGTCGTATGCAGTAGCTGGCAGAAGGAAAAAGGTTGCGACTAATATCACGATTAGACGACACCCATCCTCGTTGTCTGCCTTAGTCTTATCAGAAATCCCCCCCGAGATCACAAGACCGAGCTCCCGCAAATCCTGCACTACCCCAGCCCACCACCACCATCAAAGAGACAGAGACGCCATCCCAACTCACACTCCAGTCAGAGCGACAGACACCAAACCGCAAGCCAGAGCCACGCCGCCCGCCCATTTACCCGTCAGAACCGCATTGGACCCCAGAAACCCAAACCCACGGTGGCGCTCCCAAGCTTCATTCTAGCCCTCCCGCCTCCAGCCCGCCTCCAACCAGCGCAAGTCCACTGCTCTGGTAGTCTGGCTCTCACCGGCCACCCTCCATCTCACGCTCGAACCGGCTCAACCCAAGACTCGGTCGCCAACAGACCCAAACGCATGCAACCACTCACACACCATCCCCCAAAGCCAAGTCGGTTCGTCCGCGCAGTCCATCCCCATCTCGGCGGGCCTTGGCTTACACCAGAACAAAAGCTTTGGAGCAGAGAAGAACGCAGCCGGCAACGGCACAAGAAAGAAAGGGCACAAGAGACATGTGGCCGTGGGGCCGTCAGCGCCGTGTCTCACTCATCCTCCATCTCCATATCTCTCTCACTCACATCATCATCATCATCCATCATCCATCATCCATCATCCATCATCCATCATCCAACCATGCGGCGTCTCTGGATCCAAAAAAAACTCCCCGTCTCACCTTTCTCCGCAGAACCCGGCTCCTCCATCTCGCCCGAGCCTCACGCGGCACACCAAGGCCCGGCTCTTCTTTCCCATCCTAGCGCCGTCTGTCTATATGTTGTAGTCCCAAGCTGGATATGCCGCCAAAAGTGACGACGCCAATCCCGTCCAGGCATCCAGTTCCCCAAAATTTCCTAATCGTCTAGTTAGTAGCTACATCGTTAGTGCCCGTTCATCCCATCCAATGTGCATCAAAAACCCACATCTCGACCCGAACGAAGAAGAAAATAAAAACCGCTATCCAACATAAAATAAAAGTGGATGGAAAAGTTCCAATAGAACCTCCCACCCTTCGTCATAACGCAGCAACCTCCGCGAACACTCGGTGATCTTGCCATCAAATCCCCACCGATTAAACCGGGGTGTGCAAAGCGAAACCCTCCCCAATTACCTTAAGCTTGATTCGTCTCGCGCTCGCTCGGTCCTCGTGCCTCCACCGAGAGGTGAAGAATATCCCGAGAGCTTTCTCTCACCTCACACCGTTGCGCCGGGTTTCCCGTGAAGAAGAGCCCTTTGAGTAATTCCAAGTGACGATGAATCTCGATGCGGACCGTCAGTCAGTGCCCAGCGGAAACTGAACCCCTCGCCCCCATGTCCATAGTCAAAGCCCATCGTCGAACGAAACACGGATACCACATCGGAATCCAAATCGCCCCAGCGCAGTGGACGATCCGGACAACCTGCAGCCAACCAGCAAAAAGCAAAACAAAATGGCAAGCAAAAAGCCAACACCGCCACCTGGCCCGAACCACCCTCGCTGGCGCCAGCCAACACGACGTCGCAGCCGTACCGCCGCGTGGCTTCTGCGCCTCCCCTCTCCACGACGACGCCGCAGCCCCCAAGAAACACAACCCAATAAGCGCCCAGGAAGCAGATGAAGAGCCACAGAACAGTGGCGCACCATCCAGCGCGGTGAACTCACCTCCCTCCCCGGGCCGTCTTCGTTCGGAGCACACGGCACTTTACGATGCCCCCCCTCCAACCGACCCTCCCAAGAAAACCATCATCTCAGAAAAACAAGTTTTTGGACAAACCCCGTCTCCCCCAACGCGGATTCCAGACCGGTCTTCAGGAGACCCATTGGCTGTGACAGAAAAGCCGCCGGCGGCCCTTTTCTGCTGCTCCAATCACGATGCGATATCCCTGCTGGTCCCAATTACCAACATCTCGATTCGCCAGCAGCCAAGCGGCGTTGTTGCTCGTTAGCCATGTGTCTTCGGCAACGGCACGCTCCTCAAGCATTGGCACCTCCTGTCAAACCACAAATCTCCTTCAGCCCTTCGCTAAACCTCTCGCGTCTTCCTAATCAGGCCAGCGCGTTTTGAAGCAAACCCCAGACAGACGCAAAATGACGACATGCGCCGCCGCCGAGCGTCTTCTCGTCGGACGTGCTCCGGGGCTAGCAGTCCGGGACAAACGCTCTATCGCCAACCTCGCCGTGTTGTCGCCCGTGATAGCTACCTTGGCCATCATCAGATTCTACACCGCTCGCAGTCTGTGCAGAGAAGGGCCGCGTCTAGTCGCAGTCTGTGCCCTCGGCGCCTCTTCTTGGTGATTGCCGATCCTTCTTTCCCTATCCGCAAGCCTCATCCTTCAGAAGATCCAAACCGCTTGGGAAGTGCTGCTGTCTTGATCCCGGGTACGAGTGGATTGCAAATCTCTCGGATCCGAGTCGTGTCGAACCCAGCAACCAGCCCGCCGTGGCTACGATTTCAAAGTTGATGATATTTTCCTGTTCAAGCTTTTTGAGTTGAATTCACCTTTCCCCATGGGTTCATGTCATTCGGGAAAACTGACTCACCAACCGGAACCGCGAAGTGCAAGCCTAACCGCGCGATTGCGTTCATCTCGCATCCAGTCTTTTCCCGTAGACTTCTGCCGCCCGTTTTATCGCGTGGCCGTCAACGACGGGAGGCAGGCTGCAGGACCAGCAAATACACGCCGACAGCCACGTCGCGCAAAAGCCCGTGCTCGCAGACAATCCAGCCTCGAACAAGCCACCCAGAGATAAGCGACGATATTCACGGCTCCTCGCTTGGGTTTGGGGGCTGGACCCAAGCTGGAGACAAACCTGGGCGAACACCTGCAGGATCGGGAAATCAGCCACACCAAACCCAGACCCCGGCGTGGGCTCTGTGATGACACTGGGGTTGCGTTGCTCCGGCCAATATCGCACACATCCCGCGCTGGCAAAAACAAAAGAAATCCGAAAGGGACCCTTGGTTAGTGGCTCATTTCGGCGTTGATAACGTTTTTCGCGGCACGACACGAGCGACGAGCGTCATTTCCCGTACGCAGTCTGGTCACAATTAATAGTCTCTCACCACGCGCCGATGCGGCGGCGGCGCGGGGGGACACCCACTCCATGTCTTTCCGAGATGAGGCTTGACGCGTTGTGTGGTGATAAGCAGCCGCCGAGAGAAAGATTCGTAGAATTTCCTTTTTTGCATTTCACATGCGTGCGTCGGCGCATTGTCGAACCCGCCGATAGCTGCAGGCGTGCAATTTCCAACGGCGCTGCATGGTGTTGCTGCTCATGCTGTCTCAAATGAGGGTGGCATTCTCGATTAGATACTGCAAGGCGTGCGGCGGGCTTCATTGTCCTCGTGCGTCGCGACGATTGCTTGCTTTTGCAAGCTTATCCGCTGCATATTGAGGCCCCAAAGGCCGCCAATTTCTTGAAGCTGCGTTGAATCTTACCTCATATCCCGAGAGTCAATAGACGATGTTCGCCGGGATGCTTCTCTTTAGGGAATGCTGCTGTTGCAACCCGTGTCGTCCGCAGCCATGTCCAGTGAAACCTCGGGTGGTAGCCTCGTAGGGTGGCAATCAACATATTTTCCGAATACGCCCTGGTTTAGTAGCAGCCGATGCTGGCTCAGAAGATCAACTTCCACTCAACAACATGCGATCCGCCTGAGATCAAGTATATGCCCCAGGTGTCGTCAGTTGATGAGGCTAGCTTCACAAACATCTGCGGTACTTGCCCCTCTTCTTGCTCAACCCTGTGGCCATGCCAGGAGGGAAAGATTGAATGCCACAGTGACGACAATGTTGCCGTCAACTCTCAGGAAGACGCAAAACCAGCTGTTCCATGCTCAAGAAAAGGGTTCCCTTTTCCCCGTGGTACAGGCCGTATTCATCTCAAGTGTGTGTCCTCATCTCAAGTCTGTGTCCCTGTCATCTTGCTTGGCCTATGTCCGGTCAAAAGGGGGTGCGAGGCACGACATCTTATCTACAGTCGTGCCTCGTAGCACGCCGTGGCGGGGAATAAGCCCGCCCTGCTGTCAACGTTGCCTCGAGGGAGACAATGCACTGAGGAGCCTGGTTGGATACAAGGTTGGAGTTATACCGCCAGACATGTAACCTGATGAGCTGTCAGCGCTTCTGTGCGACAATGTGTAACGACCCCTCTTCGTGAATATCCATTTTCATGGCACTGACGGTGGCATTCAAGAGTCGTCCTTCATCGACGTCCGGCTTAGGCCCCTGGCCAGAGCGAAAGGTTGGCCCTCTCAAATTGGTATGAAGAAATCGTGTTGATGATGGCGAAACCGTCAGGTTACAGTCTCACAACAGCAAGATGGTCAAACAAGATGTACTTTTGAAGCCCTCTTGTATCCTGTAACCTGGTAGACAAGCTTTCTCTAGACATCATCGATAAACCAAATTTCGCTGGATTTCGAAAGTCCACCCGACGTGGCACCGCATAAATGTCGCAATGATGGTCGCGATGCTTGTCACCATATATAGACATACTTTAAACATCCCACAAGTTACTTTTGAGAGCCTTCCGGCAGGCATCTGTTGATTTCCGTTAATTTGTGTTGTGTTGTGTTCATCAGTCTCGCCATAAAGACCAATGCCCACTTAGTAAACGTCAATGTCTGCCATCAATCAGCAGCAAACGATTGAATCTGCTGTTGGCAACAGCGAAGATGGTACCGATATTCATCGTTGAGCTTGAGACAAGTCGAGAATGGTATCGCGACCTTCCAAGATATCCCTCGCAAACCCCGCGGGCATCATCCAGTCGATTCTCCATGACGCCAACGCGAGGAGGAAGTCAGCCTTTCGGATGGAACATCATAATCTTCATGTCGTCTGAATTTGCAACGCCACTTACGTGTACCTCGCCCGTGGATATCGGACAGTAGATCTCTTTGTCTTGAGAGATGGTCAAAGGGTCCTGAGGCGAATGGTTCCAAATACGAGATCAGCGGCACAGTGTCCGCGATTGCCGCCGCGTCTAGTTGTCTTCCGAAAGGATCTCCAAAACAAGAGGTTCACCAGCAACCAGATCTGGGGCCAAGATCAACGGCGCCACCCTGCGACTGTGTAAAGCGACGGGCGAGGGGTCCGTCGGATAAACGATTGAAGCCGACTGAGCCCGGTGAGGAGCGGACGAAAGTGGAGCTAGAAACGCGGGGAAGGGTCGCTCATCCCTGCTTCGCCGGCCGGCCGCGGGTGTGCCCGGCAGGGCATCCCGCTGTCTTCTCGCGGCACCATTTCAGGGCTTTCGGGCCCAGGCAGGGACGGTTGGCCCCGGACGGTGCGAGCAGTTCCCGGCAAGTGATTCGAGGGCGAGACAGGCACCGAGACGGCTGGCAGCACCACCCCCGCCCGGTGAAAACCAGTTCTAGGTGGTCTCAACAAAAAGTCCCGCTGAGCGGTGTGTGTCAGATGCATCTAGGGCGGTTTAGCGGCCGCAGGTCAATCATTCACCTACCAATGACAATGGCCCGTAGTTACTGATTATCACGAGAACTGCTCGCGCTACAGGTGGCTTGCAGACGAGGGGTAGCATCGCAGGGAGCGCGCGTGGCAGAAAAAAGCAGAAACTGGGCACGTGTGCGGTTGTGCTGTCGTGGGTGCTCGGACGCAAAGACCAAGGAAGCTGACAGAGGCTGGAGACGGTGAGGTTGTCGTGAAGTCGCACCGACCGAGCTGGGCGGGGTTTGCTGCTTGGCTAAGTTAAGCTGGAAGTGAGTTCGAAGCTTAAGCAGTTCCCCGGCTCATGGTTTCCTGCAGAACGACGGGGCGACGGGGCATATGCAGAGGCAGCTGGAGCTTGAATGCGTTGTTTGGTAGTGTCGGAGTCATGTTTAATCAAACGTGTTTTAGGGCGGCACAGAGCGGTGGTTTGATGCCGGTATCGGTGAGCTGAAGCGCCGTCTGGAAGTCTCACTTCTCTCTAAAGTAAACTCGCTATAGAAGCAAGGGACATGTCTTTCGACGGCCGTCAAGCTTTGGGCAAAGTGTGGCGTGCCGCACTTGAATGATAAGACGCCGAAGTAAAGGGCGTCAATGATGTGGGGGTTCGACGGGGGTCGGTGATCGTCGGTGAGCTTGATTTGGGATCTGGACAATGGCGCACTTTTTGGTGATTGATCCTGGTGTGGCGTATCAGTACCGTACCGGCCTAGCAAGGGAGGTGACTGGATGACCCCCGTGCGCCGTGCGGGAAACGGACAGCAGGAACGTGATGTGACGCGGGGGATATCGCCGTTGCCCGGCTCCCGCAATCAACTTCTCAAGCGACAGAGTGGTCTTGCTTGTGTGGAATGTGGAATGTTTCTCGTCTTTGCTTGATGTGTTGGCAAGGCTGGGGATTTGGGGCGACCCGTCCAGTCAATGAACGGTTTCGACGCATTTCCCAGTTGGCTCAACTGACTGATCCCAAAGCGGCAGTCATCCGATCTTTGCAATGTCCAAGAAAACATGGCGTCAGTTGAGGTGTCAAGTAGCGTCAGATAGCGCGGCGCATGAACGAACGAAGCACTCCGGGAGACTGCCCCGGGCGGAAGTGTCCAAAGCAAGAACGAACGCAAGCTGGCCCGGGTTTGCTGCGTTGTTGGCCTTGGAAGTTGGAACTGCTGAAAGAGATCAATTCAAGTTTTGTCGGCCGGGGCTCGTAAAACAATTTCGGGGCTTGACTCGTAAGTAGCAGCACAGCCACACCGAAGCCTCGCTGCTCATCTTAGCGATACGGTTTCCTGAAATTCGACAGAAATTACGACCCAAGAATGCTGATTTCTGGGGAAGCAACATTCCCGAAGAGTCCAGCAATCTGGGGACGGACAAGCGGCCTTCTGGCCTGGGTGCCTGGGAAGGAAGTTTTGGCGGCCACGGCGGGAATCCGGGCAGCATGTCAGTTGGCAGTCCGGGGACTTTAGCGTCGGGGCAGGGGTGGTTCGTCGGTGAAGAGAATCAGGCAAAGTCGAAGAGGCAGCTAGCCTCTGGCCCTCTGCTGATATGCCTTGTGACAGAGCTCATGAATCTATCGGTTGGGGTGGAAGGTTGGCCAGCAGAGTTCGGGTGGCAGAGGCATTAGCGGACTGCAGGGTGGTCGAAGGCACCGCTGGGGAGAGACGTGGTGCGGCCGGCCGGCATGATATGGAGACGCTTCCGGGGCGAACAGACGCCATTTCCGTCAGGTGCTGGCAGGTTGTTGTCTCTAGAGGGCTCCTCTTCTCTCCATCTCCATGCATAACGTGAGCAGTAGCGGTGGTCGAGATTCAAGCTCCAGTCCGTTGAGGTCGAGGCCGTGAGACATAGGCGACGGCAGGCGCTACTTAGCAACGTCTGCTGTCGTCGGTGGTGTTCTCTTTCTTTCTCAACGCAGGCCAAGCATTCCTCATGGACGTCGGCTGGAGTGGTCTGGTGCCGGTCTCGTCTGTTGTGCTGGACACTAAGAGCGCAGCGCCAACACGGGTCGGCTTGCCTGGAACGTGTATCCGTACGGTACACTATGCGCGGGCGGGTAGTGCAGTCAGGTACGGAGGGTACGGCGGAGGTACCAGCCGGGCCCAGACAAGGGTAGGATGCATGATCGCTGAGGTCTGGTTCCGTGTCGGGGCATCTGGCCCTGGGTGTTGCACCCTTGGGCGGGACCAAGAAAGTCGGTTGAGGCGATGATGTCAAATGGCAGATTGTGGCATCGGAAAGAAGGCACATGGGTTGGACGGGGAGGGCGAGATTATTGGCATTTTGGGCAGCGTCGAAGCAGTGAAGCTGGAGCCAAAAGGCCATGTGCAATTTGACATGCTCCGTAGTTGGGCTGCCCTTGGCCCTGGCCTCTTGAGAAGGAAAAGGAGGAAGAGGAGGAGCTCTTCTGGTTTTGGTCTGCGCAGTGCCCTGGCCCTGCCCTGCTCATATCCGCGATGAGCATCTGACCTGTGGGAAGGGTTCCGGTACCCACGGCTGCAACGGTGGTATTTTTGGAGTACCAGCTTGTCCCCGGGAGGCTCAGAATAGTACGAGAAAAGGCGGGCTCGAATGAAACAAAGACTGGATTTGGGTTGCAAAACTGGAACGGAGGGACTGGAGAAAGTGAATGGGTTAGCTGGGTTGACTGGAGATAGACTGGAGCGTCTGGAGAGAGGGACAGAGAGAAGGAGGAGGAGACGAGACGAAGAAGGGCCGTGTCGGCGTTGTGCATGTTGAGCCGCCGAGACGGTCGAGGTACAAGCAGTGGAGGAGATGGAGTGGGAATTGGGAGATCATGGACGTGGAATTGGTGAATCGGAGTTTGTGGGAGCGGGAGCGGCAATGTACCTGCAAGGTGTGACCCTCTGAAAATGCGACTGTGTTATGGAGGCAGCTGCTCGGTGCTCGGTTGGTCCTTCTTTCTGACAGAGACAGCCGAGAGATTGACATTGACTGACAGAGGCGGAGAGGAGAGGAGAGGGCGGGGCGGCGGGTGTTGTGCGACATCGGGGCACCGGTTGAGGTGACGAAGAGGTCTGGCCGCGCTGGATGTGTGCTTGTTCAGAGTGATTATCATAGTAATCTTTTTTTCCCCCTTAATTGCTTCGACCTGGACTTGTTGATGGCTATCTCTAAGACAAAATGACTGGATGATAACGCTCATGTCGAGTAACAATGGGAAGGCGGACAGGTGCATCTTGAGGGGGGGGTTCCTTCCTCACCCAATGGCATCATCCATTCCACTGCAGCGTTCCTGCCCCGCGGCCACCCTCCTTCGGCACAGTGCTCATGAAGACGCACACCGTCGGTATACCTGGGTGTGATCCCACTCGCTCACTTCAGCGAGTGTGTCCTTGCTGGGAAAGGTACCTTCTCCCGTACCTACCCTTCCTAGACAAGCCGCGTACCTTGGCCAGCCCGGGCGAACCCCACTACACCCTCGCATGCCCGCTGTGCAGCGTGCCCTTGGATTTCCATCTCAGTCTGAAGTGCGGTCACCGGTGTGTGTGTTCTGGAAGACTGCGAAAAAAAAATATGAAAAAGGGCCTGGCCTGGAACGTATCCGTACATGGCGCACTTAACCCCGGGCGCCAACAGTGCCACATAAGGTAGCCTTGGCCTAGGTAGCTCTACTTTTACTGATTTATTGAGAGAGAGAGAGAGAACCCAAGTACTCGGATACGTACCGCGGACAATGCGCCCACTGTGTTATTCTTACGACCGCACACTCCCATCGCCCCCACTTCCCTGCACCTGTTCTTGCCGCTCCCGTTCTCGCTGCCGCTGCTGCCGCTGCTCCAGTTGCTGTTACTCACTGCATTGCTGTGCCGTCAATCGCTTGCTGCTTCCAGGCGCCTTGTGACCGCTCACCCCTTACTAGCATCCATTCCATTCTTTCCGCGCCTTGACTTTCTCTGCTGAAGCTGCTCCATAGTCGCAACAAGTACCTACCCTACCTCGTCTGTCTGACTCTTCGACAAATACTCACGATCCGTCCTCCGCCTTGCCTTGCCTTACCTTACCTTCTTCCTCCTCTCTCCAACTGCGCGTCTGCACGGGCAGCGATAGCATCGCCGGCACCAACAGCCCCCAACCACGGACCAACCTCTCTCACACGACCACCCCAACACGCACATACACACCACATAAACTCCCGCCGGAAGGACGAGCGTCATCTTCGTCCCATCACTGCCCCTCCTTGCACTACAAAGGGTCCTGTTCTCCAGCCCTGCAAACTCAGCGCCGTCCGTCTGACTTCAACCCTCCCACCCGTTCCTGATCCCTTCGTTTTCGTTCGGATCCCACCTTCGCCCGCAACGAACAACCACCACAACAACACCATACCTTTCGCCGTCCTCCGCCATGGCTCAGTCCACCGAGCCGCGGAGGCGGTTCGCTCCCGTCCCCATCGAAACCACTTTCGAGTCCGTTCGAAAGAGCTCCCAGCAGCAGCAGGGACAGCAGCAACACCAACATCAGCCTGGTCCAGCACCAGAACCCACTCCCGAACACACCCCGCGAACTCCGTCACCGAATCCATTCGAGCAGCAGCTTCGCCAGCCTCCGCCCCAGCACCATGACGACCACCAGAAGCCGAAGCGCCGCTTCGCTCCCCAGCTGATCGAGACCTCGAGGCGAGCCCGAAGGGTGGGAGACACCGGCCCTGCCACTCGACCGACCGACAAGACCGACATCACTCCCTACACGAACCACATCTACCTCCAGCGCACCAAGTCACGAAAGAGGATCGCCGACGGCACCTCTTCCCCTGCCTCCCAGGTCATTCAGCGACAGCCCAAGGGCGCAAGGCGAGAGTCAGAAGACGAGAATGCCGGCACCTACATGTTGGAGTGGGCCGCCATGGAGGCCGAGAGACAGATGCAAGAGGCTGCTCTCGCTGCTTTCCCCAACAGTCGCCCTCGTGAGGGTGGCGCTGCCCACTTCTACTTCAGAGAGAGCTCCGGGGACGACAGCACTCCCGAAAGCATCTCGCCCCAGCCAACGGGGACTGCCTCCAAAACCCGTGCCCGTCACGCCAATGCACCCCGGCGGAAATCTTCAGACTTGGGCTACTGGCATAAGCATATGCAGGAGCATGCAGAGAAGCTGGCAGTGGAGAGGGGCGAGCATATCCCCGTCTTTGACGAGGAGGACGAGGATGATTCGGCCATTGACAGGATGGAGCTCGACAGCCCCCCTGATCCTCTGTGGTTGACCAACACCAGGAATCAGACCGCCGATGCTGGCTCCAAGGGTCCAATTGGCGAGGTCTTGATGCCGCTGATAACCTCTGACCCTGTCTCAGCCAAAGATACGGCGCAGCCAGCGCTCCCCCCACCTGAACCGGTGACCAAGCCCATCGGCGAGACTGGAATGCCATATGTCCCTTCCACTCCAGCCACCCAAACTGCTGCTGTGCCCATTGCCAAACCTGCCCAGGTCGTCCCAGAGACTGGTTTCCGCAACGCTGGCGGCGGCGGATTCGGCAGACCCTTTGGAAACTTTGGGTTGCCCGCCGAAACTAGCGAGTTTAGGAGGATGCGCAAGGCCGCCTCGCCGCCAATGTTGGGCAAGGACATCGTCTTCCGCAAGTGCCCCTCACCGAAGCAGACGAAGCTCGAGCCGGATCACCCCTTCTCAGAGCTCCCTACCGCCGAAGAGAGAAACAGGGATACTACGGGAGAAGCCGGATTGTGGAGGGGCTACTGCTTCCGAAAGAGCGAGAGCGATCAGGCCATAGTGCCTGCATCTCTTCAGGGACCCAGAATGCTGCATACACCGCTGCCTCCCTCCACTCCCGGGGATCCATTCGCTGCAGCTTTTGGCAAGAGCTCTCTCACTGACGAGCCCGGTTCCCACTATGCATCCGCCACTCTCACCCCAAGCACCGCCGAACACCGCGTTCGGTCGGGTGAGTTTAAGGGTCTTCACATGCTTCATGGCTTGGAAGAACGTCTGAAGCGCGAGAAGGCTCTCGAGGAGAAAATTGCCTCCGAGTTTGACGACACTTTCATTACACAGGTTTACAACTACTTGTCTCTTGGATATCCGGCCATGGCCCGGTCTTTCGACGAGGAGCTTGCCAAGATTTCCCACATGAGCGTTGATGAGCTGGAGATGGAAGATGCCAAGCAGATGGCATCCGGCCACTTGATGGAGCCAGCTGAGGCCGAGATGGCAGAGGAGAAGAGGTGCCCCCGATGGAAGGCGCTGAAGGCGTACATCTTTGAGTGGGCACGACAACATCCCGACTTGGACAGCCTCGATCCTCTCGCTTGGGGTGTGCGTGAGAGACGAGGCAGTTGGGCAATCTAGACGGCAAATGATGGAAATACAAATCATACAGCGGAGGATTGGCTTAGCGACACAGCATGATCATGTGGAAGAGAAGGGTATCGAGTGCTTTTGCGACAAACACAGCGCGTTATCAACGGCGTTTCAGCACAGTCATTCATTGCAAGGAGATATATTTTGGTCAGCATTGAGATTTTGGGTGTTTCGATATGGGCGAAAAAATACGCGGTGTTTGAGAAAGTTTAGAACAGCATGAAGAGGTGCATGGCTGCATTCCCAGAGTCCAGACGGCGTCTGTGGGGTAGACAGTGGGGTTTGATGCATTCGAGACCAACAGAGAGGGGCGACTGAGGATCGGTCGACGGCCGGGCGGTTCCGTAGGGCGGAGCGGCGCCGAGCGAGAGGGGAAAAGGCTGCGGACGAGTTGCGCTGCATTGCATGTGCGAGGGTCCTCTTGATGGATTACAGGAAGGATCTAGGTACAGATTGTACACGAGCCCTGCCCAGTAGGGGTATTCGAGTTTTTGGAGCGTGCGCAACAGGATATCTCTGGCGCTCTGACAAGGCAGTATGAACCGAGGGCGGCGGCGGTCGCCTGATTTGACAAACATGAGGAGACCATTGGTTCGCTGTGAAGTGTGTGTTCCAGATAAGCCTTTTTTGTGTTTCATACGTTAGCATTCCACTGGCTGAAATACCAGCCATCCCCATTGATTTCACACCAGAACAGGGTGTTGAATTTAGTAGGTTGCGTGAAGATTATGTGAAGCCAGCAATGGCCTCAATGCCGGAGTTGATATCGCACTCTGGAACATCGAGTACGCCAACATTATCATCAGCTGATGTACATCTTTCGAGATTTGACGTTGATGATTAATGCTGGAGAGAGGTCCTGCTCGTTCGTCTGCATGGGACCATGTTGCTGCTAAGATGAATGTTGTCTTCCAGACAAAGTCATGACAAAGTCATGACGAAGTTGACTTCCAGTAGTATCTGGTGCATGACTGCCTGTTCTCATACTTTAAAAGGGGAGATTAATTAAGCATCCTTTATAGCGTTTTTGTGATGTTTTCAACATAAATATGCCGAATCACAGGCAGACGTTTTCAGGATAAGAATGGATAAACACTGTACGTATGGTGTTGATGGTGTTAGGTGGCTTTGGTTTCAGATGAGAATCCACCGTCTACGTGAGCTGGGACTTTAAAGACTAATAATCAAACAGAATCAGCGTTAACATGAGGCATAGATGTGATTAATCCAGCTTATATCCTCCCTTAGCTTATGTTACTTATTGTTATTTATCTTTAGGATCTTTATGGATTCATTCTAGGATTAATATGTCTGCTGTTGCCTCTACTGAATTGTCTTATCCTTGATGTACTATACTTCATATGAGTATACTTTAGTCAAGCGAATATCCTCGCCTAAGTTGGCGCCTGCGTTATGACTTATTTGGAGCTATTTCGCCACCTTTGGTCTAGACATCCCAGTCTCTTTCTCAGCTCAAAGTCTAAAAGATTCACATGTACATGTCTTCTAATGGAACCGGCTCAATGCAGTGGAAGATGGCTAGCATATGTACCTAATCTTGCCTTAGCTGAAGCTACTCAGACAGAGCCCCTCCCTCTGGACTGAGACACTGGGAGGGGCGTGCTGGCCGGACTCGCCACTCCTCCGGGCTTGCCGGCTATTAGAAAAAAATAGGATGGAGAGCTCCCCAGTTTTTACTACGTTTGGTGTTCATACCAAAACAAAAAGTTCTTATCTTGGACTAGGCTTTTCGAATACATCCAGACGTATGGTAAGCTCATCGTGAAGGCGAAGGTAAGTTGCCGTGCGGCTGTATGAACTGGGGGCTCAGTACACGTGCCCGGGAGTTCCCCGCGAAAAAGGACCACCTTTGACTACGGCTCAACTTCTAGAGCGGGCGTCAACCTCATCCTACCTAGGTAAGTGGGATTTGTTCTTACATCAATTGCCGCACTCGGCCTTCGGCGACACTAATCGAGAAGTGCAGGCCGGCTCAGAACATTCACACACGGCACGATCACAGAACCTCGACTGTCGCAATCCGATGTCCGATGGAATCCAGAAACCTCCCGGTCAATGTCCCAGCCAAGATCCCCGACTCGGGAAAGACCAGGAGGGGCACAAGCAGGCACGCACGAAGCCCGACAAAAGTTCTCAAGGATTGGTTCGCCGCCCATGATGCGTATCCGTATCCCTCGGACCAGGAGAAGGAGGAGCTGAGAAGCCTTTCCGGGCTGAGCATCCGGCAGATCTCATACTGGTTTGTCAATGCCCGCCGTCGAGGGGGCGTGAAGAAGTCGGCAGTCCCTACAGAATTATCGGTTCCGGAGCTGCTGCCGAGCACAGAGCCAGCGACAGTCAGAACCCAGGATGGGATGCCATGAACCCCTTGGACCGCTGGAGGAACTCGCCGCCCGAGGAAGAGCCGGTATCGCTGGACGCCATCGCAGAAGCCATCGGCACATCACAGAGTCTCCCCGGCCTAAGTTCTTCTATCGACTGGACCGAGCCGGCGAGCTGGAGCCAGGGCCAGACCGCACTCAGCACCGACTCCATCAGCTCCCTCGGATCCTCCGACCAAAGCAACTCCAGCAACTCCTCCGCACACTCATATGCCTCTGACTCGCTCTTCAATATCCGCACCCAAGAAGGCCGCCGCCGCAGACGGCGCAACAACCAAAAGTACCGCAACCCGCTCGCTGCACCCCCCGCCGACGGCGCCAAGCGCATTTACCAGTGCACCTTCTGCACCGACACCTTCAAGTCGCGGTACGACTGGACACGGCACGAGGGCACGCTACACCTCGTCCTCGAGAAGTGGACATGCCTCCCCTCTGGGCCGCGGTACTCCGACTCCGCCGAGGCCGTCGCGCGCTGCGTCCTCTGCGACGAGGCGGATCCCTCGGAGCAGCATCTGGAGAGGCACAAGTACCGCGAGTGCGCAGCCAAACCGCTCGCTGCGCGCTCGTTCTACCGCAAGGACCACCTCCGGCAGCACCTGCGCCTCGCGCACGGCGTGGACGACGTGTTGCCGTCGATGGGCGGGTGGAGGGCCAAGATCACTAGGGTGAAGTCCCGGTGCGGCTTTTGCGGCGAGACGTTCGCGCTGTGGGCGGACCGAAATGATCACCTCGTCGAGCACTACCGCGCCTGGGCGCTTATTAAGGATTGGAAAGGGTGTAGGGGCCTGGAGCCGGCTGTTGCGCTGCTAGTGCAGAATGCCATGCCGCCCTATCTGATCGGGGCGGAGGCGAACAACATTGAGCCGTTCAGCGCGTCGAGGGTGGCTTCCAAGTCGCCCGCGGCGGATGAAGAGAGGGATGCTGTGCCATCGCAGTTTGAGCCCCTGACGGCTAGGCTGGGCGACTACATTAAGGCCGCGATGGAGAATAGCAGGCCGATCACGGACGACTCGATCCGGAGGGAAGCGCGGATGATCGTGTACGGGGATGATGACCCCTGGAACCAGACTCCTGCCGACAATGGGGAGTGGCTGCGATTATTCAAGGCGGGCTACGGTCTGGCGAGCGATGAGAAATTGCCAGGCTCCAGCGGACTGGATCCTCCTCATGCATGGCCGGTTGATTTGCCATTCGATGCGTTTCCCGATATGAACACAACAATCGTCACGCCATTCACATTGGAGAACATGCAGAATGCAGCAATATCGAGCTCTGCGTCTACCCCGCTGGACTTTTGCGGCGCTCCGGTCCAAGACGTCACAGGGGATGGGGTGGCTGTTCCTTGGTCGTGGCAGACTCCAGAATGCCTAGCTGAGTTCGGGCAGATGGGATGCATGCCATCGATGGAGATCCCTACAGCTACTGAAGTTTGCAACATCAACGACCCATTCTTTGGGGCTCCTGTATGCCCAGAGCTGTTGGCTCTCGAGGACCAACTCAGGAATACAGCATAGTGGACTAGTCGTGCTCGGTAAAGAAACAATTTTCATCTCCATTTCTAGCTTCTCCAGTCTTGAAATGCCTCTTTCACGAAGTCTACTCATCTTTCACAGCTTCAGCCAAAGCGAGCTCTAGATCCCCCTTCAGGTCCTCCACATCCTCAACACCAATACTCAACCGAACCAAATCATCATACACACCCACGCTCTCCCTCGCTTCGCGCGGCATAGACGCGTGCGTCATGCGCGCCGGTATCTCGCAGAGGCTCTCCACACCGCCCAAGCTCTCCGCCAGCGTGAAGTACTTCGTCGCCTTACAGAACCGCGCCGCCGCTTCCCCGCCGCCCCTGATGCGGAACGAAATCATGGCGCCGCCCATACCCGCCCAGTGCTGCCTTTGCGCGATCTGTCTCTGCGGGTGGGAGGGCAGGCCTGGGTAGTTGACCGCCAGAACGTGAGGAGACGCCTCGAGGAGACTCGCGAGAGCCGCCGCGTTGGCTGAGGCGGCATGTACTCTGAGGTGCAGAGTCTTGAGGCCGCGGTGGGCCAGCCAGCAGTCAAAGGGGCTCGGGACGGACCCGGCTGCTGTCTGGATGAAGGCGAGCTTTTGTTCAAAGTCGTCGGAGTTGAAGGCTGCGGCGCCCATGAGCACGTCCTAGGGTGCTAGTCAGCAGGATCTGGGAGGAGAGATTAAAAGGGGCGACTTACGCTGTGCCCGTTGATGTACTTCGTCACAGAGTGCAGGACGATGTCGGCGCCGTGGTTCAATGGATTCTGGAGATACGGCGACAATATCGTGCTGTCCACGACCACCATAATGCCCCGCGCATGAGCAATCGCCGCCACGGCACGAATATCAACCAGCGAAAGGGTAGGATTGCTCGGCGTCTCGATCCATATGAGCTGCGTATCATCTCTAACGAGCGTGGCCATGTCTCTTTCTAGAGAAGGCGCAAAGTCGACCGTGACACCGCCGAGCCTCGTAAGGAAACGGTACGTGCCGCCGTACAGGTCCGCGTTGCAGATGACGTGTCCGCCGGGGCGGACGAGGCCGTGGATCACAGCAGCCGTTGCCGCCAGTCCGGAGGAGAAGGCCAGGGCGTGCTTGGCGTGCTCGAGCGTTGCGAGGGCCTGCTCGAAGCTCTCGCGGTTGGGGTTGTTGGAGCGGGAGTAGATGTATTTGCTCGTGGGCTGGTTGATGTCTGGCTGGGCAAAGGCTGTGGCGAGGCATATCTGGAGGAGGGTATGTTGTCAGCGAGAGGTGTTACGGAGATTGGGAGGGGGTTTGGATGGCGGACCTGCTAGGAGACGGCGCCTGTTGTAGGGTCGTGAGGTAGGCCGGCGTGGACTGCGTTGGTGCCGAAGCCGGGCTGCTTCTCGGAATGCTGTTGAGAGGGCATGGTGTCACACAAGTCGGCTAATGGTTCGGGGAAACTGGAGGCGTGCTGCATTATGATTCTAGACGATCGCTTGCCATTTATGCACCAAAGGATGGACGCTTTTGACACAGGGCGTGGGAGCTGACACTGACGGAATGGGGGTTCTTGGGGGTCCTCTTCGATTGGCAATAGCCTTGCCCTATTGTCTTTACGCAGTCACTCTAATGTTACTGCTAGGGCTACGTTGCTATCTGATCTATAAAGCCTAAGTCTTGGTTCACCAGCACGTATTTCACAACCAGGAATCTATACCCGCCATGGCAGAACTACCTTTACCCCCAATCTTAGACTCGGCCATCCACCTCATCGAGCAGACGCCGATGGTCCGTCTCAACACTCTTCCACAGTCAGAGGGCATCAGAGCCGAGGTCCTGGCCAAGCTGGAGTTCCACAACGCCGGGGGCTCAGTGAAGGACCAGGTCGCCAAGGCGATGGTCGAGAAGGCCGAACAGGAGGGAAGACTCAAACCAGGCGACATCCTGATCGAGGCAACCAGCGGAAACACGTACGTGCCCTCTACTATCCCTCATATCGTTCAGCAGCAAAGTTCACTAACACGCCCCCAGCGGCATCGCTCTCGCCCTCACGGCCGCGGTTAAGGGGTACAAATGCGTCATCACGATAGCAGAGAAGATGTCCGAGGAGAAGGTCCTCGTCCTCAGATCTCTCGGCGCGCAGATCGTGCGGACCCCCGCGGGCGTGCCCATCACCTCGCCCGACTCCATCATCAGCGTCGCCCGGCGCCTCAACGCCTCAACGCCGGACTCGCACATCCTCGACCAGTACACCAACCCAAACAAACCGCTAGCCCACGAACTCGGCACCGCGCCGGAGATCTGGACGCAGTGCGACGGAAAGGTTGACATCGTGGTCGCGGGCGCGGGGACGGGCGGCACCGTCACCGGTCTCGCGCGCGGGCTGCGGCGGCAGAATCCTGGCGTGGTCGTCGTCGGCGCGGACCCCGTCGGATCCGTGCTCGCACAGCCTGACGAGTTGAACGCGGAGAAAGGGGAGTATAAAGTCGAGGGCATCGGGTACGACTTCGTCCCTGGGGTGCTGGACCAGTCTGCCGCCGAAGTCTGGGTCAAGACGGGGGATAAGGAGGTGTTTGGGTACGCGAGGCGGCTGATCAGGGAGGAGGGCCTGCTGTGTGGCGGGTCGACTCAAAGAGATCTTCTTTTGGCATTGCCAATAATGTTTCCAAACAGAAGAGTTCATGAAGGTGACGTTAACCATACTTCGAGTCTTGCGTCGGCTTACACCGGCCGAAAATGTGGATCCCCGCTTAGCGGCCCCACTCGGAAGTGTCATTCAACGAAGAAAGCAAATGCCATCCGACGCCCTGAGAAGTGTCAGTCAACGCCCTTCAAGAATACGTCAGGCCACATGTCACGAGGTGACAGAACTTCTGGCCTGTGTCCATTCAAAATTGGCAAGATTTATGCTGGAGCATGCTAAGTCCCCGCCTCAGCCTACGCCCTTGAGGTGCCATTTTGTTGAAAGCTCATGATGGAAGTACGCGAGCGCACCTCTTGACGGGCGAAGCCATTACGTCGCTGGCTCGGGATTCTTTCGCGGTAATTCACTTGTTTCCCTGGACCAGACGCTGAGTATAGGTCTCAAGCCTTGGCCTAGCTGGGTTCGCGCCAGTTAGCCGCAGGTTAACAGAATGCTTGACGCTCACGCCTGCATTTCAAAGATAGCACTCAAAGCCTTTTATCTTTTAATCAAGGTAGAAGGGACTTATGATGCTAGGGAAAAATAACTCCTGAGCATAATTGCTAATTGGTATGGAAATACTGCCCGTGTACTGTTGTTACTCGATGAAAATTATTTCATGAATAAATTGCTAGAGTATTCCGTCCTGGATTATCTCCAGCTAGAACTTCTCAGTCCACACACTGACCATATCCGTTCCTTTTCCGTTCTGGTAAGACCGCGGCGGCTTGAACTGACCCACCCGCCGGAAAGATCCCTGGAGAGATTTGTCTTCCGCATCCTCAACCACCGGCTCCTGAATAAGACCATCGTCACCCTGCGCGAGAATGTTCCAGTATACTCCGCGAAGACCCTACGGCGGTCCCGGCACATCGAGGTCTTTGTAGAGAGGGAACTCGAGGCAGAAAAGAACACCGGTGAGCGAGAGTAGCTCCTGCATACACCGGGCCCAGTCTTTCCGCATCTCTGGAAGGAGAGCGCAAAGGAACTGCAAAGACGGGTCAGCGGCTCGCAGTCTTATGAAATTGACTGAAGTTAAGGGATAGATACCGTGTGGTCATAGATGAGATCGAATTCCTGGAAGTCGCCTCCGCTGCTGCTGGCGCATTGCGCCTCCCAGTTACGCATAAAGAAGTCACCTGCCAAGATCTTCACCTCGCCGGGCTGTGCCCCGGAGACGCTGTCATGCGTTCCGAAATTGTACTCTCCCGGTTCTGGCAGTTCCGCCGCGGCGTACTGGCGTGCGACATCCGCACCCCTTTCCGAGACTTCGAGGCCGTAGACGTTGTAGCCGTGGAGAGCATGACCACGTCATATCCCTTGCCACACCCCTGAATGCGTCAAAAGAAAGAGCAGCAAGTATCTTAGAAGAGCGTAGGATATGCTGAGCCAAGTGAAATGACTCACGGGGACAAACGCCTTCAGGCGACGACCAGTAGACGGCCGAGGGAGGACTTCGGAGCGAGACTCTACGAGGTCAATGAGAGCCGGCGACGGCTTGCCTCTGTCCCAGAGGTTACTCTCGTCGGATTCCCACAGCTCTGCCCAGCCGACTGACTGCCTCTCGCGGTCTCTGTGATGGATGGTCAGCCCTGGGCTCCGAAAGTGCCTTTTCTTTCGGTATACTCCTGCGAAGAAAGGCCCGTACTTTGAGGTGAAAAGCGAGATGAGGCGGCCAGGGCCCTTCGTGTTTTCTGTCGCCATCCTGACCTTTCCAGTAAGATCAGTGAAAATATTGAGGGATAATTCAAGAAAAGAATGAAGCAAAAGGAAGCCGCGACAACCAGTTGGTGTTTTATAGGTAGTCCAACTGTGATTGAGCCGGCAGCGCGGAAGGGAAGTCCCGGCATTTGTGGCGCCTACTAATGCCATCTAACGCCCTATGACAACGCAGCCTGCAGCAAACTGTGTTGCCCAAATGTGACAGCCTCTCCAACCTAGCTGCTGACCCTAATTTTGCTGCTTTTGAGAGGTAGAGTGGTGTCTGAGGTGACCTTGGGGTGATTAGGGTGAGCAGAGGTTACCAGGCGGGCAATTTGAAGAAAAACGGCAGCAAATACAAGTCTCCACCTCAAATGATACACGGTCTTCGAATAAGTTTATAAAATGAAGAAAAGATGTTGATTATGAAAGAACTCATTTTGCATCTTGTATCAATTAGGACGGCAATTTAAAACGCATAAAGTTCCCAGCTATGGACTGCTACGGATTTAAGATTGTTACTACCCGACAATTGGATGACATAATGAAAAAGGAATTGTAAGAGAAACCGAAACCGTAATTGCTGTAAAATTCATACGATGTCTGGAAGCTTCCTTTTCTTGAGAGTCCCTGGAGCGCCAAGGCTTCTAACTGCGAAAGGTCTTCCGATTGCCCTACGCATTCTTACCGTATTGCACCTTCTTAACTATATCTACAATTCTGATGGTAGTGTACTATCGACGGCAATTGTGGCGAAACTCTCGGTCAGTTCTTGCATGTCGCCGGAACCGATGCACTGGTCGCAGTGGCCTGCCTCATAACGGGCATCAGCCTGACCATGAAGTCGGACGGGAACCTTGCCTCCCGATGTCCAGGAGATGGGTCATCGTTTAGATAGATTCCATGCTCGATCAGTCTTTCCAACATGAGAAATGCGGCATCGTATTGGTTGCTTATATCGCCCGAGCAATACGGTACTACTTAAACACTCGGGCGGCGATTATGGAGTTATTGAGGTCAGGGTGCACTTTATTTGACAGATGTCGGCTCATATATACCCCTATCACGTCGCGATACGTGTCTGTTAGATCTTAGTTCATAGCCCACAAGCATATTTTACACGCCAGGAGAAGGAAATCAAAAAGAGAAGATCTTGTTCATGCTTAAGATACCAAGAGGTAAGGAACTAGAACAGATCTATTTCGTGCTCCGTACACAAACATGTCAGCCCTCATCAAGCGTCTCAAGTACAGCTTGCTCATCCACATCTTGCGGCGTTGAAGCTGCTTTCAAGGTGTGAGCGTGCATTTGAGGTCTGTATTGCATCTATTGATGCACTTCACATAGACATCGTTGCTTCCTTTCCCGAAAAAGCAATCTTCCCGGCATAAGTTACACTGTGAACCTCTTTAGTTACAGAGCCATGAGTAGTCAGATGGCTTGCTTACCGCTGTGTTTTGGCGAGGTTCGATGGCAGTGGGGCTTGCAACGGCAAGGCCTGCGAAGAGGGCGAATAGAGTGATAGAAATTTGCATTTTGTAATGGGATAACAACGTCGGTCAACGACAATACTGAAAGACTAGTCAGGGCGACTGAAATTGCAAAAGAGAGCTGGTATCAGCTAATTGTAGACAGTGAGTAGGCGTGCTGGAAAATATCTACAATGCCAGAAATACGGACCGAGTACCGCTTCTTAAATAAACATGTCAAGAGGGATAGTTTAGAAGCAATCCGATATTTACCGCAGTGTGGACATGGTGCTCTTTAGAGTTTTGTCTGAGTATTTCGAGCAGGCCAGAGCAGCAAACTATGTTATTATGATCCCCTGCTCTGCAGTATAAACTTGCGCAGGCCAGCACCCCAACTGAAGGGATCGTAGCACTGGGGCTCCGCAAACTGACTCGATGCTATGTTCAGCTGACACAAATCTGACACAACGCCAATGAAAAGGCCGGCCAACTGTCCCTATAAACAGATTATGAAAGGGGCGGCCAGGTCGCTTATTGGGGTGCTCGGTGTGCTAGAGTGCGGTTGCGCGCATGGGAAATTTTCCTTTTCTTACTCAAGCGGTAATAAAAGCTCTCCTGTCGGCTGTCACCGCTGGACTAGCACTCTGGGCCTCGTGTCACGTCCTTGGACAGCCCAGGGCATTAAAAGGTCCCTCAGCACAGTCAGCAGCGGGACCAGTGAGCAGGGTCAAGTGACGGGCATTGTGGCCTCGACGGATGACGGGAATGACTGCTTTCTCTGAGGTGTTGCGACCTGTCAAAAAGGAAATGCGACCAACGTTGATGTCAACAAAGCCGCCCACTAGTTCACTAATATGCTGCTTACATATTGCAGCTGAATACCTCATCAAGTGCAGACGAAAGCAATGGCGACGGCAGACCAGAGGTTTAAGCTGATAACCAACTGCACCACAATGCAACAGCTTCGGCAACAGGTCGTTATCGCCTATTCTGCACTAGTAGCCGCGCCGGCCAGTGCTCCGATTGGTCGGGTTGTAATAGATGCAGCTATTGAACCCGCCGGTCACCACGTTTCACTTTCTAGGGCTGGTTCCTCAGACCAAACGTCGCTACGATACGAGACCAGGCGACTTAAACTTCCTGAATTACCACGCAAACATCTTTTTGAACGTGAATCAGATTGAGTTTTGTGGGGCGCAGAAGTATGACCCCAAAGGCATGGTCCAAGACAGCGTGCCTGGTGAGGTGAGGGGCAACGAACCTGCGCAGATGCAAAATGGTGGAAGATGAGAGCCGTAGCGAAGCAGTTTGGGAAGGTTTGGTCGAGCCACCAACTGTCTGAAACGCTACGGCCGCCTGAGCCAAGGACAGGCTGACATTGATTCGTTACAGGAGGAAAGCACGCAAGACATAGCGGTTGTGGCCATGTCAAGTCACTCGAGATACACTTAAGGATTTGTGTAAGAGTCTGTCTACAGAAACAGGTGTGATGGACAGTTGGCGATAAGATATGGACATGCTCACACCACTTCTTGGAAACACAGGCGGATGCACATGCATTTGTCTAATCATCACTTCTGCACGTAGTGTCAAGAGGATATCATGAAACAGGGAAGATTCCAAGGACAATTGTGCACAAAGCAGAGGCGAAGTCACTCCGCTCTGGATGATCGACAAACACAGTACGGCCAGCTGGCCCAACAGCAACCAGGCAGACATGCCGCCCCCAAACTCGCGAGCTTATAAATAGGAAGGTCCAACTCAGATTCGCGGAATCAGAGCGCCAGGATTGGAAGGTAGTCGTATGGTCACAGAGCCTGCTTGATGCAGCCTGATCAGCCGTAGCTTGGTTGCCAATAGCCGCCGATCTCTGTGCAGCCTGATTGCTGCGGATCGGCGGTGCATGTAAGTTGATCTAAAAAGTTCATACTCGCTCAAGGTCAAGATGATCCGTACACAATCAAGGCTGAGCCTGGCAAAAAGGTTCAACGTCCATAATTCCGACCCCTTCCCTGCCTTCGTTCTTCTTCGCTCCATGGTGGTCCTCTTTACTCTGCCGAATTTCCGCAACACCGAGGCTTACATCACAGCCCCCAGCTATTATATAATTACCTAAAGCTGCTTCTACATCCATTGCTTGTCCCACGTCCCGTCTTTCCTTTTTGAACCGTTGGGCTGTTCGAAGTGATGAGCGCTTTCCTCCGGCCCCCAAGCCCCGGTGCCGCGGGTGATTATACGCATAATCCCGTCTATTCCTTGGGGCAAGAGGTCGATCTTTCATGCCAGAAGGAGTATGAGGTGATCGACTTGATCCTGACACAGTCATCACCTGAGAGGGATCCATCCGTCTATCTCCTGAGTGAGTTACCTCGTTACCCTGGCTCATTGACATTTGACGCCTGACCTGCGCAATGCTGACAAGAGACTTGGTGGCAGACGCAACGAGCGCTGGAGGCTGTCGTTGGAACGTCAGTCTTGACGGCCTAGCATTCCCCGACTGGTACGACCCGACGCTGAGCCCCGTCTACTTTTTCCGAATGCTACTGGCTGGGACCACTGGCGGCGGTACAACATCCCATTACTTCAACATTACTGAGGCTGCCGTCTCAGCAACCACTACATCATCATCTGCGGTCACATCGCCGACTGCGTCTTCCACATCGGCGTCGGCCTCGACACCGGCTCCCCTTAAAGACGAGGGAAAGGGGCTGTCTGGTGGGACTATAGCAGGTATTGCGATTAGAGCGACGCTAGGGACTCTCGCCGTGGGCTGTCTGGTGGGATGGATGACCTGGAAGCAGATGCGAAATAGGAAGCAGGCGTTGGCCCGCCAGAGCGAGAAGTCGGCAAGTCAACGGAACAACACATCCCATTCAGTGAGATCATTACTTGATGCTGTATAGGTAGGTATGTTGGCCAAGATCCATTGCATCATTACCGGATCGTAACAATCTGATTTTCAAAAAGAGAGCTTCTCCCAGACGGCCTTGAATTCGCGTTCGAAGCGCGCTCCTCCATCTCTTTTTCGTATCCAATGCGAGAAATGGACCCAAACGTTCCGAGTGACACAAGCAGCGGCGCACATTGTTCCACAAAGCCGAAACACGGAGATACGAGAAATCAGATTGACACATAACACCCTCGTACAGCCCTCATTGTTTAGATGACGATCTGCTTCGTCCGCAAAAGAAAGTCCACGTAGTAACTCTCACCCCCTTACGGGTATGCTTGGCGAAAGGGTCGTGTATATACCACCTCAAATCAAGACCTCTCGTCAGTTCAGAAGCTCATTATGCATCAATTCTGTTGCATCTCGGGAAAGGAGAGCAGTGAAGTTTCTATCCGTTCACGCAACCATGAAGTTCCGGCGCTCTGCTGTCAGAAACTCGGTCGACCATGCCTGGATGCATTTCTGGTAAATCAACCTTCCCGCCATGGGTTCTGACGCGCTTCTCCCATAGAAAAGCAGACGAAATACGATAATTGACACGATGTTCCAGGGCCGTCTTGTTCGTCGCCGTCACCGCACAGTCTTCCCACCCAAACAGAGCAGAGTGCATCGGAGCGAATATCACCGGGCCATGCTTGGTTACTCCAAACTGCTTCGACCCGATGTACTCTACGGCGCTCATTGACAAAGATGAAAACATGACCCTGCCATCTCCCCATCGGCGGATCTCTGGACATTTCGAAGGCACCGACGTCGATTTCAACTTTTACCTTCCCCCGGAAACATCGTGGCAGGGTCGTTTCTTCAGCTACGTCTACCCGGACCAGAACTCTACGGCCATAGACCGGCGGATTGGCTTTGTACTGGACAGTGGTGCCTATATTATTCAAGTTTCTGGCACTTCGGGATATCGTGCCGACGCCGCCGCGGCGAAATTCTCTCGGTCCATCTTGGCCAACTACTATCGCTCGGTCCCGGAACATGTCTATGGTTACATATATGGCGGCAGCGGAGGCTCGTACATGACGATCGGTGCGATGGAGAACACTGCTGGTGTCTGGGACGGGGCGGTACCCATTGTGGTGGCAACGCCAGTCTCTATTCCGTTGAACCATGCGGTACGCAACTTGGCCTCAGCAGTGCTTAGGAACAAGTCATCCCATATCATTGACTCAATTAGAAGCGGAGATGTGAAAAAGGCCATGCCGAATCTCAGCGAGACCGAAGCATCTGTGTTTAGGGAAGCGACGCTTTCGGGCGTTCCAATAGAAGCCTGGGAAAACTTCAGCGGTCTCGCGAGCAGCCGAATGCTGAAAGTTCTGTTGAGCTCGGTCAAAAACCTCGACCTCTCTTACGCGGACGACTACTGGAGCAAACCAGGATATCTGGGGACTGATAATTCCACTCTATCCGACGTGCTTCATTCCAATTTTGCCAATCTCACGGCGATAATCCAAGTCATCATCGCAATTAGCGATGATGACGACTTTGCTTTTAACATCACACTCGAGGGAGTTCCTGAAAAGATTGTCAATTTTGACGGCCTGGAATTCATCCTCCTCGATATGGACTGTTCGTCCAAGATCGATGCCTTGACCGGAACCTGGAACCCCTCCACCAAATCCATCATGGCGACCAAGGACAATCCGGACATCGTATTGAGCAATCTGACCCAGGGCCAGCGAATCCGCGTCGACAACAGCTGGTTCATTGCAATGCATACATACCATCGCCATCAAATCCCAAATCGACCCGGTTTCTACGGATTTGACCAGTTCATGGGACCCGACGGAGCCCCTGTGTATCCCCAGCGAGCCGTACAAGCCGCTGCCGAAGTGGCCAAGGGCGCATGTGGCGGTCGCACCCATAGCGGCAACATCACTGGGAAGATGATCATAGTGGACAACCTCCTCGATAGCGACGCCTTCCCATGGCATGCAGATTGGTACAAGTCTCAGGTACAAAGGACTCTCGGTTCCAGCTTCGATGACAACTTCAGGCTGTGGTACAATGAGCGCGCCGATCACTTCTTCGAGCCTGTCGCGGAGAATCTGAAAGACTTCATTGTAGACTACACAGGGATGTACGAGCATGCGATGCGCAGTCTTTGTGCCTGGGTTGAGGACGGTATTCAACCACCAGCATCGACGAGTTATCAAGTTCAGAATAGCCAGGTAATTCCTTCTGGCGAAGCAGACGAGCAGCATGGTATCCAGCCCATTGTCGAGCTTTCCATGAATTCGTCGCTTACTGGAAACATTCAAAGGGGGACCGAGGTAAATTTCATCATGCGGGCGGTAGCACCTGTTGGGGCTGGCAAAATCGTCGCTGTCGAGTGTGATTTTCTGGGAGGCAAGACGTTCGAAAGCGTGCCATTTGGCGAACCTAACGAAATCGTTGACCTGGTTGTGCCATTTGCTTATGATATTGCCGGCACGTATCTGTGTGTAGTCAAGATTACTGTTCAACGTGAAGGAAGCTCATCTTCCCAATTTTCTCGGGTAAGCAACTTGGGGCGGATCCAAGTCGTAGTACGATGAAATGATGCTAGAAGTATTCAATGATGCTTTTTCTTTCTACCAGATGCGATGAGGCCTAAGTTTCTGAGGCCATTTGTTGCCTTTGTAGATTAAATGAACGTGAGATAGAGCCAAGCTCGAACATTAGGACGCCAAGCCTCACACCTAAGGGTTCTTGTAAGGCGGCGAGATGTTGTTGGCCCCATCCTTCAAGACTGGTGGCTTCATCTTCTTCAAGTCCACGTCGGGCAGGACACGTAGATTCACCGGGTGTCCAGATTTTATGCGCTCGCCAAATCCATCGGCTGGCACTGCCCCGATAGCTTTTCGCTCCTCTTCGGAGAGATGGTTGTACTCGTTAGTCATACACACACCGCATATCTTGCAGAACGTCTTGGTGAGGACGTGACGCGAGAAGCTGTATCGGCCGATGTTGGCGGGTTCGGTGGCGTGGAGAACGACTCGTTCCTTCTTCGGATAGATCCACCGGTAGGCGTTCTGTTTCGTACTTGTCAGCGTCTGAACTTACACCGCCAAAGAAACCCTTCGACTGACCCTCACGCAGATACTGCAGTTGCAATCGGCTGTTTCATTGTCATTTGTTTCATCCAGCGGCTCGCTCATGAAAGCCAGGTTGACTGCGCCGCAATGACAAGAGCCGGTGTAGAGCTTGCTGCCGTCGATGGCGGGGGGCAGCGGCCCGTTGTGTTCGGGAGATACATATTTGTCTCCGAGAGAAGCGCCATCGTACCTGGAAATAAGCTGATTAGCCAAATGAAGTCCTCCTAGGACATATCTTCCAAAGAGATGTTCATTTCCAAGAAAGGCTCACGGTTGCTTCTCCAACTCAAAAACATCAACATCCTGAATGGTACGAATCTGCAGACGAAACCTGGGTCAGTACCTCATCGTGTGCAGATGGAGTTTTGAGATAAGGAGGTCACTCACGTTGAAGGCTCTGCCATTCCCTCCAATGAACTCCCCCATAACAGGCGTGGCACAAGTGGGACAGAACTGCAAAATCAATGTCAGCGACTAGGCTAGGTATCTTGTCTTCTCATATTCGTCATCGAATTTGTACCTTGTGAGCAAGCTTCTTCGCGCCAAAGGTGTATTGCGAAAGAGCGTTCTTGTCGCCTTTGACAATATTGAACTTGCTGCCTTCTGTGGGAAAGACCCAGAGGTACCCTTTCTTGTGGCAGATGCTACAGTTGCATTCCATCGCCGACTTGATCTCCGGTAACTCAGCTTCGTAAACGAAGGATCCGCAATGGCAATTGCCTCGATACAGACGTAGACTTGGCTTTGGCTGTGGCTGAGATCCATCTTTCTCCGGCTCTTGCTGCTGTGCATCCTCCGCTTTCTTGCTTCTTGTGGTGACCATGTTGGACGGCCTGAAGGTGTTCGTACTCAATATGATCAACGAACTTGGAGTCTTAGAGGAGGACTAGAGGAGAACAATCATTAAGAGATCGTTGGCGGATAATTTCGAAGGGAAATTAGAGATGGAGGTTGCAGGTTGCTAGTTAAATGGCAGGCTTTGGAGCATAATTACCCCGCGTTCTGAAGCCCCTTGCATGGGAAGGCAGGCATCGCCAGTCAGCACGAAGGGAAGCGGCGTTATCTGAGGCCGAACAGTGCCTAGCAACAGACTTGTGGCGTTCCTCACTTGAAGTGGAACATACACTTGCAACTCTGATATCCTTCGAATTGGTGCGGTTTCTTCGCTGTTTGTGACTCACCGCTGTCAACAAATCCCAGCTGAGTGAGGTGTAAGACTCTGATGTTGCTCCGAACATCTCTATCCCACCAATTCACACCACATCTACAGATTTCTGTAGGGCGATGTGAATGAAGACTGGAGTGTTGAGCATTCGGGAGCGGGGTCGCCCAATGCCTAGCTCACAGCCGCTGACGTCAATCTCGCCTGTGACTGTTCAGCTGCACTTAGTGCTGAGGTTATATTCATATCAAGGGGATGTTGTTGCTCGGGAGACTCCTAAAAGCACGCAATGAGTCTCACATTGGCTACTTGCTGACATGCAAGAAAATACAGCCAATGTTTGATTGGATTTTAACATCAATTATACCGGAGAGGGGTAAGACACACTCATACTATCTGAAGTGGCCAGTGCTACAAGTGCAACTGGTTATGATCTAAGGGCATTGTGGTCCTCTCCAAATTGATATTTATAGACCTCGTCGGCTTCATGCCATGGTTGGTATATGGGCATGTATAATAATATAGGTTCCTTTCCTCCGACAATTTCTGGTGGACTCGCGGCTTGCACTGGCGTGAACCTTGATACATAAATTTATTGGCGTTGCGTTCGGCGAGCGGACGTATATGCGGGAAAACTCCGTGATCTTTAAATTCGAGTATTCTTGATCTGAATCAGTTCCGTAAGTCTGTGGATTCACCTTGCAGCGGACA